TGCACAGTGGGAACATTTCAAGTTTGGATGTTAAGAAAGGGATTGAGAATATTAGAAGGGCACTTTGGAAATTCAAATATTTCTAATAAAAATGCCCAAGAGAGTTAACCTGTGCGATCACAAGTTAATTTTATTTGGCAGTAAGAATGATGGTGATGGATGATATGGAAAGATTTTCACCTAATGACTAAAGACTGAAAACTCACTCAGTACCCAACTTAAAAATTATGACCACACAGCCTCTCCATATTAGATATAATATATTAAACATTTATATATACATACTTTTTAAAATTTTATTGAATCATTGTGAGATAGTTACAAGCTTTCATGTTTGGGTTACAATCACATAATGATCAAACGCCCATCCTTCCACCAGTGTACATTCCCACCACCAATATCCCCAGTATACCCCCCCTTTCCCACCCTCCCACTGCCTCCATGGCAGACAATATTCCCCATACTCTCTCTCTACTTTTGGGATTATGGTTTGTAATGCAGATACTGAGAGGTTATCATGTTTGGTCCATGATCTATTTTCAGCACACATTTGATGTGTTTTTAAGATTGTTGTCAGTCTTCGTGGCTTGCTGCAGTGGTCAGAGGTCACTGTAGCTCTAGGGTCCCAAATGACAGTGCTCCTAGGATCACTTTAGCTTGTGGGGCAGTGCTAGCCTCACTTCTGGAACCTTACGCCAGTGAGAGCTCTACCCCTCGGTCATCCCTAGACTCTCCCAGGCCATATTTCTTCCCTATTTTTGCTTGGGGAGGGTCCTCCCAACAGTGCTCAGGGGTCCTGCAGGCACTTCTGATGGTTCTTGGCTGACTGGACTGTATGACTGATGCTCGACGCAGCATGCACTGCTGCTGGGCACTGTGGTGGGGCGGCCAGGCTACACCGCAGTGCCTTGCCACGTGTCTCAGTGGCCGTTCCTTCCTTGGTGTCTCTGACTCTTTCTTCTTCTGTTTCTTGTACACTTCTCTCCCCTGATACTTCTTTATCCTTTGAGAGTTTCTCTGTTAAGGGTTTTATCTTTGACCCACTTGTTTCCTTGGTAGGTTAGCCAAACATCAAACATGCCTCACCACCTTCTCAAGCTCCTGATGGTGTATTTAAAACATCCCCATTCTTCCGGCGGGCTATTGATAGTAACCCTCATCTAATCACCCACACTTAAAATGCCAGTTTTTTCTTGAATTTTTCCCTTTAGTTTTCACATCTAATTGCTAAGTCTAAGAATTTCTTTCTTCCGGGGCCGGAGCGATAGTTCAACAGGGAGGGCGTTTGGCTTGCACGCGGCCAACCTGGGCTCAATCCCTGGGATCCCATATGGGCCCCTGAACACCCCAGGAATAATTCCCAAGTGTAGGGCCAGGAGTAACCCTTGAGCATTGCCAGGTGTGACTCAAAAAAGACAAAAAAAGAATCCTTACTACCTTTCATTCCTTTCTTCCTTCCATTCTTCGTCTTTCTTTCCTTTCATTTCTCACCTCTTCAGAAATTTTTATTATCATCTCCCAACTCAGACCCTTATTTCAGACAATCTTTTGCAATGACTCCCTCATGGGGATCCTAGTAAGAAATTATAAAAGGACGCGGGCTGTGTAGAGAGATCCTAGTGCTAGTTGGAAAGTGGCACTTATTAGCTGCCTTAACCTTAATTTTCATGTGGGAAAATTCAGACACATAGAAGTTCATTTCTTCTACCTTAAAGTACAGTGGGACAAGTGAATGCCTAGTGAGAGGGCACTGGGAAAATATTATCCCTTGAACCTGGAGCAATGGTATCAGTAGGGCATTTGCCTTGAATCTGGCCAGCCTGGGTTCGATCCCCCAAACACCATCAGGAGTAATTCCTTAGTGCAGAGCCAGGAGTAACCCCTGATCATTGCTCAGTTTGGCCCCCAAACAAACAAAAATACACAAAAATATTATGTCAGTCCCTACTTTTAATCTCTTTAGAACCCATTAATATGATTAAACAGTGTTTAAGGAATATTAATCGGTTAGTCACTTGCTCTTCATTGTTTCCCCACTGTCTAATTTACCTATAAACTTAGCCTAATTGGAAACTGTTTATTAATTTGTCTCCTTTTCTGACCTTGCTTCCTCCTCCTCTTCAGAAAAACCCTTCGGAGCCAAACAACTAGCTGTGGCCAGTAGCAAAATGATTTGAAAATCATGATTTGAACCAGGGTGAGCCACATGGACTAACATTTTAACTTTGTAATGAAAATGTCATATTGTGTGCAGTGAGACTAGTTTTTAGAAAGGGTTTACAGGACCAGAGTGATACTACAGGGATTAATGTGTCTGCCTCTCACACCACCAACTCCAGTTCAACTCCTGGCGCCACATCTGACCTTTGGGCATCACCAGTGGTTCCTCCAGAGACCGAGGAGCCAGGAATAGCTCCTGGCCACTGCTGGGTGTAGGCCAGGCCCACTCCCTGACACACTTTTGCCCTGAAAACGTTTCAGACAGCATTGTAGTAGAAAATGATAGTTAAAAACCAATCAAAATAAAACCAGGTGGTGACACTGTTTTAATTTGGCAAAAGATTTTCTTTCTCCATTACCTCTTCTACTCTTATTATTTTCCACTGTTTATCTGGTAGTGCTTGTCATGGTGCCGAGTTGAAGTCAGACGCATACATTTGTGGATTACAATGAGTCTGAGGTCCGTTTTCGCTGAAATTAATAGCAGATATACATAATACATTCAGATGTGATTGAATATCTTGTTCCATTGGTTGAAGTGAGACACTGTCCTTCAGAAATGTCGCCCTCATGCTGTGTGCAGATGGAGGGTCTCTTGGCAGCCGTGGGACAGGAAGTGGAAGGGGGGGTTGGAGGGGGAATCTCCACTTGAAAATTTCTTTCCCACAGTGATTTGGCACAGTGCTAGCTTATCCTGCAGCATAATGCATGCCTTGTTCTTGCTAAAGAAGGCTTGGTGATTGCTTTCATGCCTTCAGAAATATTTCTGATCATCATAAAATCATTTATAATTGATGTACCGTCATTGAGAAGTCTGTTAAGTCAAGAGACAAATGTTAGATCTATCACTGACAAATTATTTATTTTCTAAATAGATTCTGATCACTGTCACTGTCCTCCCGTTGTTCATCGATTTGCTCGAGCGGGCCCAGTAACGTCTCCATTGGAGACTTTGTTGTTACTGTGTTTGGCATATCGAACACATCACAGGTAGCTTGCCAGGCTCTGCCGTGCGGGCGAGATACTCTCGGTAGCTTGCCGGGCTCTCCGAGAGGGGTGGAGGAATCGAACTCGGGTCGTCCATGTTGGCTGCGTGCAAGGCAAATGCTCTACCGCTGTGCTATCGCGCCACACACTCAAATGGTAATGACTTTCCATTCAAGGATGGCCATACTTGACCATAAAGTGCTAACATATTTTAGCTACAATAAAGTATGTTACTTGTTTTATTGGTAAGGTAAATTTTTAATATACTTTTTGAATGTGACATATAATATATTCAGGTGTCAGGTGATTTTTATGCATGAGGTTCATGTTAATTAAGGGCTCTAAAAAGTCACCATTATAGTTATTTTTAATTGTCATTAAAATATTATTAAATTACAATTATCCCTTCTACTGGGAGGGATGGAAGATGATGTAAAACATGATTAGTTGGCATACCTATTGGATGGATGTTTAAGTTGTGAGGATTTTTTCCCCCTCTGCTGCTGTAAAAATTGGTATCAAAACTTTACAGATTCATTTACAGTTTTGTCTCTGGTAAAATCTCAAGAAAATTGAGAGAACAAGCATGAGCTCACGGGCACAGGAAATTTATGAAAATTTTATTCCACATTAGTATTTTCTGTTGAGCCTCAGAAAGAAATACTTTGTGATATGTAGGCTTTTGTGGTTTTATGAATTGACTAGGGAACCTTTTCTGCTGTAACAGCTGAATATGTTGCAAAGATTCAAGCCCTTCCTTATATTAATGTTCCAGTTCATTAACTTTATTGTTAGGGTTTTTGCACTTCAGTGACTTAAACCAAATCATGTACATGTGGTTCTCTTCTCTCTTCCCTTTGAGGAAAAGATGGCTGTGTATCTAGTGTTGTGTTTTCATTTAGGATCTGTTGTCAATTCTATTAAGTGTAAGATGATGAAGGGGAAGCTCTTATATAACTCAATGCCTTATAGATAATGGAATGTGTTTGTAAACATAAACTGGTCACTTCTTCAACTGGTGTTTTATCATTTTTACCTTTAACTGACCTTTAGAGATGAGGAATTTCAGAGCTGTCTGCCTCAGTTCTAAGGTGGATCATAGGATGGTGGTTATCTCTGAGCACATAGGTCCTTTGGTATTCTAAAGCTCTAGCTTTAGAAACCAAATAAGGGAGAATCTTATTATGCAAGCTGTGTTTGCTGCTGAAAGTACTTTCTAAGCATTTTCAGGAAAAAAAGTAGGAATTATGCAATAAATTTCCAAGCGAAGTCACCTTTGCAGATGTTTACGATTACTTGTAAAATGGTAGACATGTGCAAGCAGCAAGGGTTCCTACATGATTGACTATGAAATGTGAAGAGTCTTGTTTGTTTGTTTCTTTGTTTGGTGGCCACGTCCAGTTGTGCTCAGGGGTTACTACTGGCCCTGCACTCGGAAATCATTCCTGATGGTGTATGAGGGAACATATGGGGTGTAGGATTGAACCCAGGTCGGCTGTGTGCAAGGCACGCACCTTCCCTGCTGTTCTGTCTCTCCAGGCTCACACTTTAGGGCTGTGTATTCCAGTGCAAGTTAGATGCCCTCGTTCAGAGTACTGAGAAAAATAATATAATTTAATCTGAATTCAAGCGAATGATATTGAATTCTACGTTTAAGGTATGACTGAAGTTATTAAATAATTTTGATGATTAATCATTATTTCCCCCCATAAAAATTGGTTGGTTTTATTTCATGTAAGTATAGATGCCAATGTGAGATGTTGATGTTCATTTCTAACTTTTTTTTCCCCTAGCTCACCAGCGATTGGAACCAGCAACTCTATCAGGAATTGTGGCATTTATCCTTAGTCTTTTATGTGGCGCTCTGAATTTAATTCGAGGCTTTCATGCCATAGAAAGTCTCCTGCAGGTACTGTGCTATTTCTGCAACATGACTTGACTGTGCTTATTGATTCTGCTTGTTACACAGTTGACTTGCATTGATTCTAGTGTTATACAGCGTTGCAGTGCAGGCCAGACCCTGTATTCTCCGTACCACCCTAATCTCCCCTCCCTCCAAAAACACTGATTTTGAGTTGACTTCTTCGCTTCATTCGACACTTTCATGTTATTTATTACTCTGGCAACACCAGCATATGTGTGATATCAGTCCTAGTGTCCACACCTAGAGTTGAATTGGGGACGCCAAGGAGTTGCTATCTAATTGCCAAGCCCAGAGTTTGGAAGAGCAAGGGTGAGTTGTGAGTCAGGTGGGGGGATGAGCAGGCCGAAAGGAGCGAGGAGGGGAGCAGGGGGGAGGGCGTTCAGGGCAGGTTCTGCCGACGTCAATGTTCCTACTTGCTTATCTGTTCTTTATCCCTCCTTGTAGTGGGCTGCTTGTGAGACCACCAGTTTTTGTAGATGTGACTATTTCATTTTGCCACTGAGAGTTCCAGAGAGTTCCAGCTATCAAAATGTATTTTCTCTCTCACTCCTTTTATCAACTTTTTGAAACTTAAAGTTTAGTATATCCCGTATTGTACAGCTTTCTCTGAAGATTTTTTTTTCCTGTGGACAGTTTCACACTCTAAGATGCCCTTTATAAAAATGCATTCAAGGGGCTGGAGTGATAGCACAGTGGGTAGGGCGTTTGTCTTGCATGTGGCTGACCCGGGTTCGATTCCCAGCATCCCATATGCTCCTCTGAGCACTGCCAGGAGTAATTCCTGAGTGCATGAACTAGGAGTAACTCCTGTGCATCGCCGGGTGTGACCCCAAAAGCAAAAAAAAAAAAAACAAATGCATTCAGCATAGTCTATGTTTCATTTTAAAATACTTCTGTTAGTTTGGGAAGCAGTTCTTACCGTCTGCTACCTTATGGAGCATTCAGAGAAGAGCCCATCCTGCACCCTGTCATGCCCTCAGTTCTGTGTGGACAGAGCCTGTCGCCGCTTCCTGGTGGCTGAGCTGTCCGTGTGGGCTGTGGACGGTTCTCCCAGACTCCTGCTCCTCCTCCTGCTACCTTTGCCTCTTCGCCTGTCAGCCCTGGGACAGCTGGGCAAAGCTTCTGGCTCTCGTCCTCTGATCCCTTGCCAAGTTGCTGTATTCTAGCAGGAGTTCAGGTTGGTGCCAATTAGACAACCTGCCAGAAATAAAGGTAATTTTAAGATTGCTGATGGAAAGGTCAATAAATAAGATAGTCTTGCTTTAAAAAAAATTTTTTTAGCTTGATATAATGGAAATAACAGTAGTGTAGGTGCATGATGATTGATTTTGTGAAGCAAGGAGGAAAAGGGTTGTTGGTTCCTGTTCCACTTGGGTTAGCTCTGTGACCTTGAGTCATTCATTGCTTACAAAATAAAGGAGGAGGTGGGGGGAGGGGGCTGGATTACTATTTCTCAAAGGTGGGCTACATTTGCCAGTGGCTAACAATAACTTTAAAATCCTTATAAAATTTTAGTTTAGGTAAGATGGTTATAGTAGTGTTAAATTTTATGATACCGGAGTACAAAATCACTGACCGCAAGCCCCCCACCCCTGCCGCCCCAAAGTGCTCTAGAACCTCCCCCGCCGCCCCTGTGTCGCCACTGGCCGACGTCTTTATTCCTCCCTCTCCCGCTCTTGGTGTTCAGCTTTGTAGCCCAGGACCAACAGTTTGTCATTGTCCAAAAAATGGCATTCACTTCATCTGCACTGATATGTGGTATTGGGGCAGGGAGCTAGGTATCGCTAGACGGAGGGCGTGTTCTGCAGGCAGGGCCTGGGTGGACCCCAGCACCACGTGATCACCAGGAGTGACCCCAAGCACAGTGTGTAGTATCTTGGGTTTGGTAAAGGATATGAGCTTCTGTTCCTGCACAGATGTCAGTTTTCTCTTTCAAAATACATTGGTTTAATTAAAACCATAAAATGTGTTACACAAGTAATTTGTATTTACTGTTGGAAAGAAGACAGGGCGCTCCCCTCAGGTAAAATCCTGTGGCTAAGAAGCTGTAGAGCAGAGTGGGGAGGTAAGTGACAGGATACGCAGATGCCGAGCACAGGTGCCGCCCTGACCTTGCTCTTGGGGCTGCACGCACACAGCGTGGCCAGTGACCCCTGAGCACTGGACTTCGGGGCTCAGGCTTCCCTCACCAGCAGAGCATGGCCGACAGTGGCTTGGCCCCACCCTCCAGCCTTCCAGCTCTCCGGGGTGTGGCCCTTAGGCAAAGGAAGTGGAAGCCTCGGAGCGATGATGATTGTTTGAAATTCAGTTGAGAAGTAAGGGCGAGTGGGCGTGGGTAGAGGAAAGCCTTCAGGCCGCGCCTTCCCCCCTCTCGCTCAGAAGACCAAGCTCTGCAGAAGCTACAGCTCAGACTACATCACAGTTAAACGAAATCCAAGATAAGCCTCTCCTGTCTCACAAAGCCTGTCAGAAGAAATAGTTTGTGTCAAGTGCTCGACTACGTCCTGTCCCCGCACTTTCTAGACTGGGCCTTACTGCCCCCTACTCAGGACCAAAGAAGTTGCTGTCGGCTACAGCTTTTCATGACTAATGCTGGCTATGATTCCTCAAGTGTTTCATGTTCTCCCTTGGATCGATAATGTCTTTGCCTCACTGCAGTCAAGGTTTTGTAGATTTCAGAAGCATAATTACCTAATTAAACTAATACCACTTACATATAACTTCCTTTACAGTTCTGAGATTTCTCAGGCTATTTACGTTTTAAAAAGACATTACAGGCTAGAATCTCTCATGGACATTGATGCAAAAGTCCTCAACAGAATATTGGAAAATTGAATCCAGTCGTATGTACAACCAATTGGGATTTATTTCAGATATGCACGGCTGGTTCAGCATTCAAAAATAAATTAATGTAATCCATTACACCAATAGACTAAAGAAGAAAAGTATGATCATATCAGTAGATGCAGAGACAAAAATCCAAACACATTCTTGATAAAATTTGCAGCAAACTAGGAATAAAGGGGGAATTTTCTCAACTAAATAAACAGCTTTTCAGAAACCCTACAACCTAATACTTGAGAGGGTTGATGCTTTCACAGTAAGGTTAGGAACCTTAAGGATGTCCTGATGTTCCCTCTTCCCATTCCTTTCGGCATTTGGAATTCAGTTGATCCTGCCAAAGGATCTAGTTATTGGACTTGGACAAAAAAATAAAAGGTATGGGGGTGGAGAGATTGTATAGCAGGTAGATGTTTAACTACCTTTATTCACAGATTACATAGTTATCTATCTATGTAGAAAATCCCAAAATGACAAACTCCTAGTACAGATAAGCGTAGTGAGGTCACAGGATCCAAAGGTACCACTATATAGATACAAACACACATATGTACACCCACACGTAACTAAAATTTGAAACTAAAAATATCACTTATATTGATGCCCCCCGAATAGGTACTTGAGACTATAACGTAAGTTTTCTGTGAGGAAAATTAGTAAGCTTTGATTTAAGAAATCATGATCTAAATAAAATCAAGGAGCTAAGCAAATGGATATTCATTCCATTTTCATGGATCGGAAGTCTCACTATTGTTACAATGTTGATTCTTTCCAACTTGATCTCATCATCGTCCCAATTACAATCCCACCAAGTTGTTCTATATACAATGTCAAAGCGGTTCTTAAGTTTATAAGGAAGGCCAAAAGTCCAGGATAGCTGACACAGTGCTGATGAAGGGGAGCAAAGTCAGTGGCTGGAGTGGTGGATTTTGGCGTTTTCCCTGCACGCGGCTTCCATCCTCAGCACCACATATGGTCTCCTGAGCTCGCCAGGAGTGATCTCTGCATGCAGAGCCAGGAGCAAATACTGGGCACCACCAGGTGTGCCCCTTACCCCACAAAACAAACACAAGATCAAAGTCAGAGGACTGGCACCGCCAGCCTTTAGGATGTGCCACTGTGCTGTTTGCTCCAAGAACTGAGATCGTAGGTTGGGAGGCTGGAAGGAGTGCAAGAGGTAAGGGGCTTTCTTGGCGAGCGACTCCCCCTAGGTCAGTTCCTGGCACCACACGTGGTCCCCCAAGCGCTGCCAAGGGTCACTTCTGAGAACAGAGCCAGAAGTTGCCCGTGAGCACCACCCAATGTGGCCACCCCCAAAGTGGGGAAAAAACAAGGGGAAAATCTTGTGTGGCAAAACCCCAAAATGTCGTTAGGTATGCAAAGATGTGCAGTCACTTTGCAAGCCAGCTGGGCTGTTTGTCACAAAGCTAAACAAAGCTGTCACCCAGCAGCCACGCCCCTCGCCCCTCGGCCTGCTGGCTCTGCTAGTCAGAAGACTCAGGCCCACACAGACCTGCTCAGGACACTAAGGCAGCTTTATTTGTAATTTCAAAAATTTGAAAGCAACAGATTTTCAAAAGGTGATTGGATAAGCACAAACTGGCAGTCCATACATTGGAGTATTGTTCGGTAGGAAGAGAAAATGACCCACAGGCCACAAGAAATATGACTGAGTCTTACGATCATGTTGCTAGAGAAGACAGCAGTCCGAAAAGACGACACGCCATGTGATTCCAGCTATGTTACCTGTGTAAAAGACAAAACTACAGAGCCTGTAAGTGGTTGCCTGGGTGTGGAGGAAAGGATGGATAGTTGAATATTCTTAGGAAGGTGAAACTCTCCTGCCTGCGACTGTCCTGGCAGGTGTGTCTGTCACACAGTAATGTAGGATGTTAGCTGCAGAGGAAACCAAGCCGGAGGAGAGTGGGTGTGTGAATTCCCAGCACCATTCCGTTTTCTCTGCAGGACACAGTGCTCAGAGGTAATACACACACACACACACACACACACACACACACACACACACACACACACACACAGAGCACACATACGAACCAACCCACACACACAGCATCTCACACCATTAGGACACAAGCCAGAAAGGAGGGTTGCCCCGTGGGCTCTATCCTCTCGGGCTCTGACTC